CAGGTCTCTGTGAGAAGAGGTCCTGGTAATCGAGGCAGGCAGGGAGGCGGTGGCCAGGCTGTCATTCCCAGGAGCGGAGAGGGCCCAGCTTGCATCCGAGGAGCCTGCGCTACGGCGGGAGATGTCGCAGCAGCGTGTGGGGGGGAGGGAGGCGGGGAGGGCCGGGCTGCCCCAGGGACATCCATTGGTGGCTGCGGCAATGTGGACAAACAAAAAGACCAAGAGCCACCAGGGCGGAACAGGGTCAGGGACGCCTGGGCTCAGGCCGGAACCCTGGCCGGTTGCTGGGAAGGGGCCGGGGGTGCAACCCAGCATCAGCTCGGGCTCACACCCAAACCTGCAGCCCAAGGCTCCTTCCAGAATGCACCGCGTGGGCCTTGGGTACTCCCAGCCCCACTTCCACCCAAAAAGTCAACAGGCAGCCACCGGGCCTGCCTGCACCCCGCACCACTGCAGACACTGCCCAGGGCCATCAGAGGGAAGCCTCGGCGGACACACACCTTCCAGCCCCACCCAGGAGCACATGCCTTCCGGGGCAGATGATGAGGGTCGCAGGGGCAGGTCTGGGAGTGCAGGGAGGGGTGGGGCAGGGTGCGGGGGAGGGGGGCGTGGCAGGAATGATGAAGGTGACAGGGGGCAGCGTTAGGGTGGGGGACAGGAAAGGGGAGGCGGGGGCGGGGCTAGGGTGGAGGACTGCATTTACGCTCCCACCACTCACGCACCCAGCTGAGCACATTCCTACTCAGTCCTCACGATTCACGAGGTGGAGACCTGCTCCTCACCCAAGAAAAACCAGAAGCTCAGCGAGGTGAAGCAGCCTTTCTGGATCACACAGCAAGGAAGGAAGGTGTCAGGGGTGTGCGTCAGCAATTCCCAGGGGTCCCCCCCACCCCAGAAGCCTCAGCCTCGGGACAGCGTAGGTTGAAGGGTCAGGCTGGCCCTGGGGATGGGCATCTGGCCCTGCGCTAGTGGGCGGGCGACTGAGCTTTGAAGGTGAGAACACGTCTCGGCGCCACCAGAAAAATAAATCCCAGCGGCGGGCCTCCTCTTCCTCCCTTTCCCAACCTTTCTCCCGGGCGACGCATGCCATGGCTTGGTCTGAATTGAATTTTTAAACTGCACCCTTGAGACACGAGGAGGAGAGAAGCGCGGGCAATCGCGGTCCGATTGTGAAAAATGAGAGGCACTTTCAGAAGTCGGGTGCATGCTGGAGAGGACGCTCAGGCAGGTGAGGAGGCTGCAGCGGGCGGGGCCAAGGGCACCCCCGAGGAGGGGCCGCATGGGGCTGCATAGCCTCTGCGGTTCCCTGGGTGCCACCAGCCCTGCCACCTCCCCCTGCAGCTCTGGGAGCTGCCCTGCTTCCATCCCTGCCCCCTGCCCAGGATGTGCCGTCGCCAGGAGGTGGCCCTGGCTGCAGGCCTGTGAGCTGACCCGCTCAGCTGCTAGCCTGCAGGGGCTTGGTGCCCTCTTGAGCACCTAGCAGACACCAGAGGGACGCAGCTCCCTGGGAGGCGTGGCTTTCAGAGGCCCAGCCTCCCTTTCTGCAATGGCGGGGAGGAGGCTATGGAGTCTCAGGCACAAGTTGGGGGTTGGAATTCCCCACGCCACTTACAATGTGGGACCTGGGCATGCCGGAGGCTCAGTTCCCATCCACCAGAGGCAAGAGTTGTGTTAGCATCACAGTAAGTGTGCCAGGTGCACAGCAGGCGCACAACACACAGCTACTGTGTGAGGAACGTGGGAGGCCCTAGCTGGTCCACCCCCAGGATGCAGCAGAAAGGCAGCTTCAGGTTCTCGGCCCCACCCAGCTCTTCTCGGCCCCACCCAGCTCTCCCCAGTCGGGGCTGCCCAGCCAGGAGAGGCGGTAAGGGCTGTCAATGCCGCAGACTACCCACGAGGACCAGGAGACATCACACTCAGAGGAGCCCAGACACACACCTAGGCAGCCCACGTGTACCAAACACCCAGAACAGACCCGTCTACAGAGGCAGAAAGACCAGCCGCCAGGGGCTGGGGGAGGGCGTGGGGGATGCTGGCAAATGCAGCTGAGGTTCTACTCTCAAGGGTAACCCGAACGTTCTAGAATTGAGAGAGCTGACGGTTGCACAACTGTGCACGAAAATCACCGAATCACGCACTTCTACGGGGTGAATTTTATGGCATGTGAATTATAACTAAAAAAATTTTAAATAAAAAATCCAGACCCCTCCCACTGCCAAGTCCACTGAGGATTCTCCCTGCTGCCCTCTGGTGCAGGTGAAGAGGTGCCACAGGGAGTTGGGTGCACAGGGAGCGGGCCCCACACGTCCCTGCGGTCACCCAGGATTCCACACCCCCAGGAAGGCAGGGTTAGCGTGTTGACGGCCAGAGACTCTTTGGTGCGCCCAACGCCAGCTCCCTGCACAACAGCAGTGTTGCTAGGGGTAAGGGGAGCTTCCTCTCCAGCAGGGACCGCCAGGACCCCCTGCTCAGAACTGTCCTCCCACAGACAGCTGTCCCAGCCCACCCGGGAAGGCCCAGCAGGAGCAGGACACAGGCATGGCCCTACCCTCGGTGGCCACTGTCTTGCGACTTGACCTCTGAACCTTGGCCTCTGCACCTGCACGAGGGGCCCGGGACGGCTGCCGGCCAGTTCCACAGACGGGGAAAGGTGAGGTCAGGGTCGGATCAACTCCATGAGAACGGGGACCAGGTGCACTAAGGGGCTGAGGTCACGAGGGGGAGTAACCCGGTCCCTCCTCATCCAGACCAAGGCCGGACCTGGGTTGACCAGATGGAGACTCATCAAGACGGGGGGGGGGCACCAAGGGCCCAGCCGCAAACACTGCTGCACATCTGCAGACCCCGAGCCCCACACATCTCAGCTTCCCGGTTCAACAGGAGGTGACCTGCGTGAGTGCCCTGGCAGGCACAGGCAGCAGCACCGCTCGCCTGCCCTCCCGAGACCCTGTGCCACCCAGTTCCAGGCATCCATCCTGGGGGATCCTTCCCAGAGCCTTTTCCCAGTGCCCAAGCCACAGCTGGGAGGGGATGGGCCCCGAGGCCACGGTGTCTGGCCTCCTGCCATGGGCGCCCATCAGCACACTTTGTTCCCGGCCAGTGGGGACCAGCGGCCTCTGGCACTCAGGCCGCCCGCTGGCCAAGCAATCAAGCCAAGTGCTGGGGCCAGGCTGGGGCAGCAGAGAGGAGGCCCCACGAGGCAGGCTCCTGCTGTGACACCCGTGAAGTGCGGGGCCCACGGAGGGAAGCTGAGTCTGAACACCTCTCCACCACGTTCCTTGGCAGGCAGGGAAACCTGCCCTTTCCTGACCTCATCCCCTGCAGCGTTACCCAGGGTGGAGCCCAGAGGCCCCAAAGCAGACACAGCTGCTGGCTGAAGCCAGGATACAGGGCTAACCCAGACCCAGCAGCACCAGCGCCAGCCACGTGTCACCCGTGGCCTCAGAAATCCCGCGCCAGCCCTGGTTCTCCTGCCCCGAAACGCTGAGAAAAAAGACAACCAGAGCAGGAGGGGCTGGGCCAGCTCTGCCCTCACTTCTCAGCCGTCCCTCCCTTCCCTCCGCCCCTCTCAGGAGAGCCTGAGTCTCAACTCCAAGGTCAACGTCCTCCCGGGGTATATCCTCAGCTGCCTTGTTCACCACCCCAGAGAGCCCAGGATGCCAGGGGGCACCAGGCAGGGTGCCTGCTTCCCCTGAGCCATCTGCCTGCAGCTGCCCAGCCTCTTAACACAGGTGGGGCCCGTGCAGCCCGGCTGCTCAGGCATGGCCAGGGAGTCCCCTGCCCCAGGCGTGGAGGGTTTTCTGGTGGTCCCAGCTGAGCCTGGTTCAACAAGAGGAGCCAGGAGGCAAGGGGGTGCCCCCTGGTGGTAGAGAACCCAGGCCCCACCTGGCCTCCCTTCTGGGCCAGTGCCCCCACCCTTCAGTGCCAGGTTTGTCCTTTTTCACTCCTCGGTCTCCAATGAGCAGAGGCAGAAAGGACCTGGGAAGCAGACATTCAGAAAGGAGGCGACCCCCAGCCCGCGTCGTCAGGGCAAGTGTCCCCTCTGCCAAGCTGGAACCCCAGCATGTAAAGACAGACACCACTCCTGTCCATGCTGCTCTCTGGCTGCTCAGGAGGGCCCTGGAACCGGGATCCTAACCCTTGGGCCTTTGAGGGGAATGAAGCAGGTGACAGGCAGAGCCACTGGGGTCCCTGCTTCAGCAGTTCCCTGCCCATGAGCAGTGAGGCCAGAGGGTGTCCGAGGCCTGGCCAGAATCCACAGCGCCAAGGCCCCCCGCAGCTCCAGCCGCCCACTGCCCCTCCCATTCATGCCAGTAGCAGCCTGGGCACAGGCAGTCAATGGTGATAATGGGCCCCAAAAAGCGTCCCAAAGTCAGAACCAAAGGGGGCCTCTCTAGAGCCTCACTGGACAGACCAAATAAATGGAGCTCAGAGGGTCAGCACTTGCCCAAGGCACACAGCACGTCTCGTCCCGGTGATACCAAGAGCCAAGGCTCAGGACCCCCGGAGGCCCCCATCTGCGCCCCCTGGTGTTAAACAGTGGTAGGGTCTGCTGTGCCAGAGACCCCCGCTCCAAACCACTGTGTTTCCATGGACGCCATGTCCTCTGCCATGTCTGGAGCGGGTGTTGAAGCCTAAGCAAGGGGCCACTCGGGGAGCAGCTCTCCCTCTGGAGCCTCTTGGGGCTGCCCTGGTCATGGCACCCACCCTCCTGACTGAGCCACTGGACTGGCAGGAACACCTGGCTATGGCCGGTAACCCCTGCAATGGCTCTGGGGGCCAAGGAAGGACAGAGGCAGGAGAGACGGGAAGGAGAGGAGAAGCGGCTGGGGCGGTGGGGCCCACGGTCTGCAGCTCCGACAGTGCTGTCTGCTTCACGCGGAGCGCACGGCGTGGGAAAACGAGACTTGCTATGAGCGTGCACGTGCACAGCGCGCGGGAGGCCGAGTCCCCGCCTCGGGAGCCACCGCTCCCCCACGCAGCCTGGCGGGCCCCCTTACCTCTGGGCTCCTCCGCCTGTTTGGCGAGCTTGCGCAGCGCGGCGGCAAAGCTGGAAGACGGCGCGGCCTGGGCCGACAGCGCGCTGCTGGTGGCGGGGCTGCCGCTGGGCACCAGGGCGCCATTGAGCGGCGAGGGGGTGAGGGGGTTGACGGTGGCGGTGGTCCTGGTCGCGGTGGAAAGCATCCCTAGCGAAGGGGACTTGGGCTCATGGCTCATGCCTGAAACAGGAAAAGAAGAACCAGAGGTCACCCAGAGAGCAGGAGCGCCCAACACCAGAGCAGGGTCGGCAGGGCCGGTGGGGGAGCCGGTGTCAGCAGCAGCATGCAGGGAGCAGGGGCGCCCCAGGGGCTCCAGCAAGCCAAGCAAGAGCAGACAGAGCCAGTGCTGCAGAGAGAACAGACCCCGTCCCCACAGTCCAGCTGGGACCTGGCACAGACCCCAGGGGCCCTCAGGACCCGATTCTGAATGGCTCGGGCCAGCACCGCCCTCTACCTCTCCAGGCAGTCTGGGCTGGGCAGGCTGTGGAGGATCCCATGTATCAACCGACAGATCCCCAGCCACCAAAGGGTTCGGGGAAGGAGAGGGGCCCAGGGTGAGGGGGCGTCGGCCACACCTCAGGACAGAAGCACACTGGCAGAAGGCCCAGGGACGACAGCAACCAAGACAACTGCTGTGGCCACCGACACAACGTGTACACAGTGCCAGGCATGCATGGCAGTGCCCTCGGGAGGCTGGCGCCAGCGCTGCCCCACCTTACAGAAAAGGAAACCGAGGCCCCAGCTTGGCCCAGTCTGCACGGGCACTCAGCACAGACCCCTGGCCTCCCGCCACCCAGGGATCCTGTGCATCTCTGTCTGAGACAGGTCCCAGAGTTCGGGCCACACAGGCAGGCTGACGAAGAGCGCCGGGGAAGAACACAGCCGCCCTGAAGACCCCACTGTAGCCCCTTGCTGGACACAGAGCCTGCCGTGAGGGGCTGAAAACAGCCGCGAATCCAAACCGCCGTCCAGCGTGGAACCCTCCCTTTCCTCCCGGGCCAACTTCAGGCCGACCTGGCCGAGCGACAGTTGACCGGGCCCTCCTGGTCGGGGGTGGCAGCCACAGCGGCAGCAGGAAGAGGTCTGAGCCCAGGTGCAGCCATCCGGGTGACATCAAAACCACTAGGGGAAGGGCATGGCCACCTCCAAACATGCCCTCAGTCCTCCCACCCCGTGTGTGCAACCAATAAAAGTCCAACCTGGTCAAAATGTTTTCCAACAACATCCCCTCCCTCTGCAGAGATGCCCCCCGATCCCCACATCACCCACAGGCCAGGTCCCGGCTCCCTCCTTGTGGACCCATCTCAGGGGAGGGGCGCCGGGACCACACACAGTGGGCTGGCATCTCAGAGATCATGGTTGGGGGGGGGGGAACACGCAACACAAGAGGGGTAGACTGTGCGCTTCCTAAGGGGCAAGGGCAAGGGAGCCCCCAGGCTCCCTCCTCGGGCTGTGGGCCCACCCTCAAGGGGCTGCCCTGGCCTCCAGGCCCCACCTCACATCTGCCAGATTCTAAGTTGCACTGACAAGTCTGGCTGGAACCTGCTGGCATGGGCTGCGGGCTGGGCGCAGCATGCGGAGGACCCTGGAGGCCTCCTTTGTCCACCTGCTACACCCAGAACTTGCTGCCAAAGGCCACGTGCTCTGGGCGTGTGTTCAGGGAGCCAAGTCCCTCCACTCCTGACAGAGGGGCTGCAGGGGAAAATAACTCTTTGGGGGCTCTGAGGGGGGGACCGGGGACAATGACTGTGAGTGGGCCTGCCAATGAGAGATCAGCGAGGCGGGAGCAAGCTCACACCTCAAGAACAAAGGACCCTTAGAGCCCTGCGCTGCCCAGCTGCCAGTAGTCACAAGGCGGCGTGGCCATGCCCTGCGGCAGCGGGCCCTACCGGGCCAGAGGGCCAACCGTAGCCTGTCCTCCTCGGCTTTTTCTGGAGGGGTCAGGGGTGGAGGGGGGACCTGCACACCCCGAACTGCCTTTCCAAGGCCACTTCAACCTGGCACAGACACCCAACCACGCAGGAGAGCAAGGGCGCCTACCCAGCAGCCTGACTTCCAGAAAACATGGGCTGCCAACTAGAGCCCTTCCTCAGCCAGCCTGGCCCCCGCCAGCTGCTCTGCTCCACACCGCCAGCTGCACTGCCCCAGAGGCTGGCCTGGCCCCCGCCTGTCCCCCGCAGTGGTCTGCTGTCAGCGCCTCTCCCCGTGCACAGAGATGGAGGGAGGGAAACACATCTGTGGGTCAGACCCGGGCTCTGCTGCTTCTGGCTGAACAACCCTGGGTGAGTTACTTCACTCCTCACGGCCTGACTCCTTCATCTACCTAACGGGGTAACAGCACACACAGCAAAGCCGACCTCGTGAGGTCACGCCCCCGAGCATAATGGGGTAACTGACGCAAGGGGCTTCAGAGTCTGTAGGGCACCCCAGGGCTGTTACCAAACAGCACTCCAGGGACGACAGACGCCAGTCCCAGCAGGCGGGGGTCCAGCCAAGGGCAGGCAGATGTCCCAGCAAATGGCACCCACACTCTGGGTCTGTGCTGCTCCCCCCCACCCGGGGGCTGGAGCCGCAACCAGGAGGGCACAGGGCATCCAGCTGGTGGGCACCCTGCCCACGAGCCCCCTGCCCTGGGCCCATGAGCCCACACACCTCCCGCAGAGGGCCAGCCTGTGACCCCAAAAGGGTGGTGGCTGGGGAAGAACAGAGCTCTCGTCCTGCTGCCTGCAGGGGACACTAGCGGACGTGGCCCATAGGGGGGCTGCCAAGGGCCAGTCCAGAGGACCTCCAGGTCCCACCTGTCACCAAAGCACACTCAGCTTCACATGCAGGAGGCTGCAGGGTGTTTATGAGGGAATGTCTAGGAAGATTAAGTGGCACAGGACCAAGCCCCACCCTCAAGGGGACCCAGGAGGACATCAATGAACCAGGTCCTGGTGGTCCCAATGAGGTGCTGAGGAAGGTGGCGAGCCCTAAGACAGGAGCAGGGCCGCGGGGACACCACCTCCAGGGAAACAGCAGCAGCTCTCAGAAGTCACAGACCAGTGGGAGACCTCCCAAGACAGCCTCACCATGAGCTCAAGAGAGCCCACGGCAGCCGTGCTGTCATCCACCATCCCAGCCTGCGGCCCACCCCTCACAGCCAGCACCTAAGCCCAGGAAGCCTCAAGTGCAGATGGGGAAACCGAGGGCAGATGTCCTAAGCTTGGTCCAAGGTCAGTTAGCTGAGCAGCATGTCCAGGACTGGAACTCGGCTTCCTGGGTCGCCACGGCTCACTACCAGCGCCTGCCCACTCCATGGTCCAACCAGGGCATGTGATCAGAAGGCGTGAATGGTCACATGCACACGTACACACACACACACACACACACACAGCTAAGACATACTGGACTGTAATGCCTAAACACATTCATCCTGGGCATGGCGGCTCACACCTGTAATCCCAGCTAAGTAGGAGGGTGCGGTGGGAGGACTGTGTGAGGTCAGGAGTTCAAAACCAGCCTGGGCAACATAGACAGACCCGGTCTCTATAAATCACCCTGCAACTACAGGTGCGTACCTGTAGCCCCAGGTGTTTGGGAAGATTATTTGAGCCCAGGAGATGGAGCTACAATGGGCTATGATCATACCACTATACTGTAGCCTGCGCGACACAACTGTCACTGAAAAAATTAAAACGACGTCTAGAAAGTCTTCATCGATCACGCTTTCAGGAGGTAGAGACTAACTCCCTTTCCCGAGCGCGGGCCGGACTGTGTAACTCATTTCTGATGAACAGAGTATAGTGGAAGCGACAGTCTGCAGCTGCCAAGGCAAGATCGCCAAACACACGGTAGCCCTCTCCTGGCCCTCTTGGGTCACTCCAGTGGAGCAGGGGCAGCCGCCACGTCACGAGGATGCTCAAGCAGGTCGTGGAGAAACCCACATTTCAAGGAACCAAGGCCTCCGGCCAACAGCCATGTGAGAAGCCACTTTGGCAATGAATCCTCCAGCCCCAGGCTGGCCTTCTGATGAGACTGCAGCCCTAGCCACCATGGTCGTCACACACCGAGACGGAACCACCCAGCTAAGCCACCCTCCAACTCCTGGCCCACAGAGACAGAGCTAACAAAGGTTTTGTTAAGCCACTGAGTTGCAGACGGTGGGTTACACAATTCTAGATAACTGATAACGGTCAGTGTCTCCACACCCTCTCCTCATCAAGGATGTCCCTCCAATCCATCGCAAAGCCAAGTGCAACTATCTGCACACAGATACTCTGCATCTTCACCCAGAGTCTCCAAAACATGACCCTGCAGTGCCAGAGCCCATCAGCAGCCCCCCTTTCCCATACTCCTCAGAGAGCCAGCCACTCTACATCTTGGGCGCCCTGTGAGAGAGGTGTGACTGGGCCCATTTTCCCAGATGGGCAAAGGCAGGCTCAGATCCCAGAGCCAGAACAGAGCAGGGCTGAGATGACCTCAGCACAGTGCCCGTGTGACAAGCCAGCCAGGGCCCAGCTCCAGACCTGCTCCCGGGCTGCAGGAGGGGTGGATATCCGCGGCAGGCTGGGCTGCTGTGTGGTCCACACCACACGCTGTCATAGAAGACGGGGGACATGGGGCAACGTACGGTCGTTTCACCTCCAGGTGACATGCTCTGGAGGTCTGGGAGCAGATGCCAATTCTGTCCCCAGGCCTTCAGGACAGGCTGGCTGGCCACCCAGGCAGATGTGCTGTGACCACTGGGCATGGGCTGGGTGGCTGGACGAGGCTATTTGTGCTGCTGTAAAGAAATACCTGGGGCTACGTAATTCATAAAGAAAAGGCTTGTTCTGGCTCCTGGCTCTATGGGGTGTACTGGAAACAGTGCTGGCATCTGCCTCTGGGAAGGCCTCGGGAAGCTTTCCATCATGGCGAAAGGCGAGGGGAGCCGGCACATCCGGCGGCGTAAGACGGAGCCAGAGTGGGAGGATCCCCGGCTTTTCAACACCCAGACCTGGTGAGGCTCATGGGAAGAAGTGTTATGTCTCCTGGACCATCAGAGTTTGATGGCAAAGGTGACGGGGATGACCCCGTCATGAGATCCAACCCCCCGATCCAATCCCTGCCACCAGGCCCCGCCTCCAACACTGGAGGTCACTTTCCATGAGACACATCCTAACCCTATCAGCGGCACAGAGGCGAGGCCACGGCACGAA